CTTCCCCGGAAACATCAAACTACAACACAGGGACAGATCGTGACAGTACCCCCCCTCAAGGGACGGGATCCCAGCACGTCCCAAAAAAGTCCAGCAGGGTGGGCGGAGGGGACCCGGAGGAGGGACACAAAACCAGGGCCACAGGTGGTGGGGAGGGGGTCCGGAGGACGGGTTTGAGCTGACAGCCCAGGGGCACAGCGGAGGACCCGGAAGGGGTCTCGGGCGGACGGCCCGGGGGCAAGGCAGAGATCAAGGATGGGGTCTCGGGCGGACGGCCCGGGGGCAAGGCAGAGCCCAAAAAGGGGCCAAGGCCACAGCGGGCGAACTCAGGGGGCCGGGCATGAGAGCGAAGGCAACGGCTGGAAGAGTCCGGAGGCCGGGCCCGAGGGCGAAGACCAGACAGCTCCGGAGGCCGGGCAGGACCCGGCGCCGGCCGAACAGGAACCGGAGCCGGCGAGACAGGTGATGGCGGGGCCTCCAACGGAACAGGACAAGGGGTTGGCAGGACCCCCGGCAGAAAAGCTGTCGGCGGGACCCCCAGAGGAACAGGACATAGGATTGGCAGGACCCCCGGCAGGAGAGATGTCGGCGGGACCCCCAACGGGACAGGACACGGGGCCGGCAGGACCCTCAGCGGAACAGGTGTCGGCAGGACCCCCAACGATACTGGACGCGGAGTCGGCAGGACCCTCAGCGGAACAGGACATGGTGTCGGCAGGACCCCCGGCGAAACAGGTGACGGCGAGACTGCCAAGGCACACGACGGGGATAGGGGATAGGGGCGAGCTGGGTGGTCCGGAACACCGACAGGACACGAGGAGCTTGGAGTGGGCCGGCACAGCCGACAGAACAGCGAGGAGGGGGCTGGAGTGGGCGCCGGAACACGCCAGAACACAAGGGACTGGAGTGGGCAGAGACCGGAAGCGTGAGGCCAGAATCATAGCTGCTGGGGCCGGTACTGGATGTCGGAACTGGAGCCGGAATTGAAGACGGAACCTGGCCGGCTGGGCGGCAGCGGAGTTCGGATTGAAGCCGGAACCATGGCTGCTGGGGCGCGGAGCTGGGGCGGCGGACCATAGCGCTGGGGCCCAGACTGGGCTGGAAGCGCATGGGCTGCTGGTGCAGAACCGGAGGCAGAACCATGGCGCCGGGGGGCCAGAGCGGGCGGAACCACGGGCTGCCCGGGGGGCCGCCAGCCCAGACCGCGACTCCCCTCGCAGGAGGACGCCCTGGAGGCTCGTGGACGCTCTCAAAGCGCAGACAGTTCCAGAGAACGGCCCCGCGGACAGGAGG